TAGGATAATTATCGAGTTCTAACAAAATAATTAATTATTATATTTATAAGAAAATTATATTATTAAACCAAATATAAATTACAACGTTATCGTAACTATATTAAATTATAATAAAAAGGTTAAACTAAAAAAATACACAAAAAATAAGAAATTTCAAATACTTAATTTGATACGAATATCAATATATTTTTGTTATGCATAAAGTACTGTATATTGATGTATATTACTTAAAATTCAAGATTACAAGTAATTATGCATAAGTGCAACTTATTAAAGCTTGATGTTTGAATTCGTATAAATAACTGAGGATAAACATAATCAAATAGATGATGAACATCTCATTTTAAAATATAAAAAATCTAAAATATAATTAAAATAATTTTCGAGTTCCAACAAATAAATAATTATTATCTTTATAAAAAAAATTATATTATTAAACCAAATATAAATTACTTCGTTATTTTACATAAATTAAATTATAAAAAAATTGAATTAAAAACTTACACAAAAAATGAGGAATTTCAAATAGTTAATTTGATACTAATATCGATATATTTTCGTCAAATTTTTATGATATCTTCAAACATATATTTTATTCAAAAATAAAAACATCATCGCTTTCTCAAAATCACATAAAGTCATATTATAATATCGACTGAGATAAATAATAAAATGAAATATTAAAATCACAATGTATCTCGAAGCATTGTGCGAGTACGCTTATAGTAATGTTTATATACGGTAAATACAACAAATAAACTCGCATACTCTTCTCATCTTTGGTGGGGTTTAAACCCTTGACCTCTTACGAGGCCAAAGACTACGACACCGATAGGTCAAAGATCATTTGATAAAAAAATTAACTTTATTGATGCATATCGTAGTGACTTGCAAAAACTTCATTTTTGTTTTTTTTATTAACCTGGATATCCAACCCGCTATGCAAGCCGACTAATCCCAAGGCGACCACCTGCTTTGCAGAGAGTCCGGAGTCACCACATTTGAACCTCCGTAGCCACAAGGAGATTTCTATTCCTTCTTGGGTTTGAACCTCCGTAGCCACAAGGGGATTTTTATTTTTTTTTGGATTTGAATCTATGACCTCCAGGTACTTTTGACCTTTGGAGTCAAGCTCAAACCAACCAATCACCACCCTTGTGGTTAACTTTGGTCACATATAATTTTTAATGTGATAAATAAATCCGAATATATTTAAAAAAACTAATAGAATAATATTTAAGATGTTAATTGCTGTAAAAATTAAGATTTTTATACATGAACTCAAACATGAACGAATTTATTAAGCCTTTAACAGGGTTTTACACACTCATTCAACTTATTTTTGCAAATAGATTTTTTTAGATATGAAAGGTGCATCCGCTAAATTTTAAAAGGTGCTCCGGGATATTAGAATATACAATAAACATCAATAAAAAAAAATTGAAAGCCAGTTTCTTGGAATCAACCAAAAAAATTAAAAAGCCCTCGAAACTGTTGAATTCGGTTAAAAACACATTGGATGACTTTGTGAGTCGTTGATTCACCCACTCCAAGAAAAATGACCTTCAGAGAAGGTATTGTTTTGTACTTAAAAGTCCTAAAAGCTTCTCTAAAGCCTTTAGATAAGTTTTTCAATTTTGTCAAATAGCTTCTCTGTGTGACGGTAGGTGAAGATTTTAGAGAGGGTTTTCGGAGGGTATGTTTTTGTTAGCCTTTAGAGACGCTTAATTGAGACTTTAGATGCACTTTTAAAACTTCTCTAAAGGTTAGTCAAGTTTTTATTTAAAGCTTCTCTAAAAGTATATATATTAGTGACACTTTTCAAATATTTTGTGACGGTTTGTAAGAGTTACTAAAAGATACTTTTAGAGAAGATAATGGAAAAGCTTCTCTAAAGATGTTGGCTTTAGTGACACTTTTAAAAAACCTTCTCTAAAAGTCCTCGTTAGTTACGGTTACGAAATCTTCTTTAAAATATGATATTTAGATACACAAACTCAAAATCTTCTCTAAAAATTATCTTTAGTTACACTTTTAAAGAATTAATTCCTTCTCTAAAAAATATATTATAATATATATATATATATATATATTATAATAATAAAATTAAACTAATAAATAATATTAAATTAATCAGAAACAAATTAAAATAACCTCAAAACAATTTTTTATAGATTTGTTATATAATTTCATATTATAAGAACCATCCAAATTTAATATTCAACTAGTTTACATATCGTCTAAATTTATCAACAAAAAACACCCAAAATCATCATATCATATTTAAYGATCTTGAGTATCCGAACGTTGGTCTTGAACAGTTAATGAAGATAAAAAACTTGGAACTGACCGGCCAGATACAATTGACCTCACCATTTGTCGCAACTCAGCGACTTCATCCTTCATAAGAAAGTGCTCGGATTTGGTTGAAGCAAGCTCGGATTTTGTTGAAGCAAGCTCAGACTCTGTTGAAACAAGTCTATTAGACATCTCGRTGTGGTTCAATCGACCTGACACACCGGTGCTATGTCGCGAACTCGTAGAATCCTCCTAGTGCTCGGGACCCTAGACCATCCCCGAATATATGCATTGCATAATCTCTAGATCACCCGGGGATTTTCTGTTGATTCAGTTTGCCGCTTAATCTCTACCATGTTCTCCTATGGACATAAGAATCATATATATAAATCTTAGTGATTTATAAAACGATGAAGACATGCAAAAGAGTTCGTTAAACGTAACTTATATATGAAGTGCGAGAATAGTCATTAACCCAACCCTCTTTTTCGCTATAATGCAACTTTCCAAAAGTCTCTATCTCACCGATAAGAGGATTGTCTTTCGAAAATGGTGATTTGGAGTGCTCACTGTACCGTTTAAAGCAACATCCTTTCGCTTCCCCCTATTCTCAAATTTTTTTCTTGACATAGCCTACATAAACAAAATATGATTTTAGCAATAACAAAGATAAAAATATGTTTCAAATGTAGATATGATTTACTATTTATGCAACAGTTTGAGTAAATATGGTTGCAAATAAAATGAACACCCTGGTGGAAAGATTTCAGGGAAGATATCCTTTTCAATGTTATTGTGCGTTTCATTTTCAATCAGTTATATTTCGATTAAGTGCAACATTATTATTTTCGTCAACAACTCAAACTATTGAAACATGTGCAACCATGGGTTTTTTTGGGTTCATTCTGACTTAACCTGTCTATCCTAGTAGATTTATAGATATTATTTTGGTCAACTTACAATGTGCATCAGAAAACAATTGCATCATAGACAGCATCAGACTGAAATTGGAGAGCATCATTTAGATGTTCAAATAAAAAAATGTGAAGTGGGAAAGCAGGGAAAATTAAAACTAAAGGTAAAGTAATACATATCAAGATATGGATGCTTAATGCATCTCTAACACCAGGAGAAAGTTCCAAACTTGCTTCATCAACATTAAGGTACATACAGACTAGGTCTAAGCTTAGAAACTAGGACTTGGTTGAAGCAAGCTCGGACTCCGTTGAAGCAAGTGTCTAATAGACATCTTGGTGTGGCTCAATCGACCTGACGCACCGGTGCTATAACAGACCAAACACATCAAACAAACCTAAAACATATATAATCTAGTGCAGGACCAAAGACACCAAACAGTCCTAAAACAGTGCAGCTATTTAAGTAGAAACATCTCCTTTTACCAGCTATATAAGTAGAAACAGTGCAGGCAATGTGAATGTAAAAATCAAACATATGTAAACAGGTTTTGCACAATAAGTGTTAGGAGCTATACACCAAACAGTCCTAAGATAAGTTTTAGGAGTTGTTTACTTGAGCTATTTAAACAGTCCTAAAACAGTCCAAATACACCAAATAATCCTACAACATAAGTAGAAACAGTAAAGGCAATTAAGCTGTTTACTTGAGCTGTTTACTTGATTTTTCTTTTATTATCTTTTTATCAGTTGTTCCTTATTCAACCAAAACCTGCATCACCTATTTTTTTCTTTTCTCTTATTCATGTACATTGAATTGCATTCTAATTTATCCAACCGTGAAGCATATGCCATTTTTCAGAGTCTAATTTTCTGACAGTTGATATGAATTCTAAACAAATTTAGGCCTTCTTGTGATGCTATAGTATAATACACTCTTGTCAATAACAGTTGCTCCAGATTGCAAGATGAAAATCCTTTGAAGTTATACATTAAAGAAACATATTATTGGACTAAGGGTAAATTAGTCTTTTGATAATAGGATTACAGGTAGTTAATATGTTATTAGTTAGCAGTTCTTTTAGCTTTGGCAGCTTTGGTAGTTCGTATATATTTGATTCTCCAGTGTATTTAGTTTCATTGACTCGATCAATACAAAGTCCTCTACTTTCTTTCTCTACAACTGCAAGTTTGATACCCATGAATCTTTGGTGAAAGAAATAAGTGGAATAATTGCACATAATAAATGAAAGGCTTACCATTTTAAGCAAAGCAAGTTTATCTGAACTCGTTTCCTCCATCTTCTAAAGATCTGGCTTCTTCAGCACTAAATTTTGCCATTGACACCGACTTTACTCGATGACTGAACTCCCTGCTGAAATCATCTCACAAGTGCAATAGTTAAACACAACATATGCTACAATTTAAGGAAATGATATGAAAAAAAATGAAATGAAATGAAAAAAATGTAACAGAACTAATTTAAGACAAACTGCACTCCACTGCAGTTGGTGTATACAAATGTCCAAAAAGTTGTGCAGACATATTGAGGTCCCTGCTTAATTAAATAAATCGACTTATTAATTTAAATGTTATACATGTGGATCTACATTTATTTACCTCAAAATATTTGATGAAAAAACTTTTAATATGATGAAACCATTTAATTTTATTTTTCTTTTTGCAAGATTTACCATACTACATTTGATGAGAAAACTGAAAGGAATATTGACAATACAAAATGCTAGAGACAATTTTCTTTACCTCTCATGCATTGGTTAAATCCAATACATTTATAATTACATATAGTTAGCAATCTTAAGGAAGCATTCTAAGGATGAATTCCTCCAATTAAAGTAATGTTAAGATGAAGGTGAGGCCATGCCTCACAGGCTCACAACACACCTGTTATGAAACTCACAACTTGACTTTTGCCACCAAATATAAACCTTTAAGATGCATATGAAATTTTGTAGTGCATTGATGTAGCCTTTAACATAACATTTACTGAATTTGCGATGGCAAAAAGTTCCATCTAGAACTCTGAGGATAAGCAACAATTTCAGTTGATGATCAAAGATTATTTTACCGGAAACAGAATGGGCTAGAGAACATTCATGGTAATTTCTGTCTTTTTCTTTAAACAGCCAAAATTGGTTCATTGTTGTATCTAAAGAGACATGGACTCACAACCTAGGGTTGTGAGGGTCCTGAAGAAATATTGACAATATCAAATGCAGCTGATGGACAAACGGAATTGGGTGATAAGTCTTTAGCGAATACAAATCAGT